GAGAGAGAGAGAGAGAGAGAAAGAGAGAGATAGAGAGAGAGAGAGAGAGAGGAACGCAGTGATGGAGCAAGCCCACGCAGCGGGTGAAGCGGGAGAGGGCTGCGCTGTGCTGCAGACTTCGATCAAGCCCTAAAGCCTCTGCACGCACGTGTAATGTGTCATGAGCAGGCCTGGCATGGCCAAAACCCCTGTTCATGGGTACTTGTGGCAAGGGAAACTGTCCATGAATAAATACAGCTGGATTAGTCCACAAATACTTACTTCCCTTGCATTTCTGATTTAACAGGGATCTGATATAACATGACTTTTTCTCTCGTCCAACCATCCGTTATATCAGGTTTCCACTGTACTTTTATTTTAAATAAAATACTGCACTCATTGCAAAATATTTTATGATATCAACTACACAACATTCAAGACATACCTTAAAGAAGTCTGTTCCCTTTGCTTTCCTGATTTCTGCCTGCTCAAGTTTTTCTGCGTTTTCCATTTCATACACAGCCTTTGCCTGTAAAATCAAAAGTAAAGATTTATGAACGCACACAAGATACTTGTGTGTTGCACTTTTCTTTTTTTAAAATCAAATTCATTTGCAAGATAAGTTCACTCTCTATGAAAACTTAACTCAAAGGTTTGAGTTAATTGATGTTGGTGATATGGCCCATAAGGTAAGTGGCCACTGAAGTGTAACCTTGAGCTACGTAAGTCAGTTCCAACTCAAAAACAGGGTGCACCCCAGCGACAAGCATAACATGCCACTGTTTTAGTTTGTGATGTTATATTCATTTTACACTGTGAAACAAATTTTCTTGCAAGAATCCATAAAGTTGTACTTTTCTTTCCAGGTAGTTTTGTAATTAGGTCTTCATCATCATTGCGTTTCTCACCCTGGATCAGGGCATAGGCCATGAAAAAACACTTTCCATCTTTCCCTATCCCGGGCTAGCCTCTTGATGTTATTCCGTATCTTCCAACTTTTCTGTACATCAATTTCTGTGACTCTTCTCCAGGTTTCACAGGTCTTACATTAGTTAAAAGAAAGTCCAACATACCCCCCCCCCCCCGACATTCATTGCTAAACATCCCAGTCTTTGACCTTCTCAATGGACATGACAAAGTCATCAGAACAATGTTTAAAAGTAAACAATAAAAACAATGCTACGTCTTGTAATAAATAAACATTCCAACTTCAACACAACAGCCACAAAACTGAAAACTATCATGATAGTATAGTCAATAAGATAATATTTTACCTTTTCAAAGGAGACCAACTCTACTTCATACACCAGAGTTGCATCCCCAGGAATGTCAAGTTCCTTGTTCCCTTCCTTCCCGTAGCAGTATTGAGGAGCCATGGTGAAGCGAGACTTTTCTTTTAACTTCATCTTCTTTATAGCTGCTTCAAGCCCCTTTGTAATTTTAGGGTCATCACTCTCTCCCAAGGTAAAGTTCACTGAAGACTCATTAAGGAGGACCTTCCCATTCAGCTTGACAGAAAAACTGGCTGAAGAAAGAAACACAAGCGTCAGAGATGGGGACTCAACATAAGAACAAAGCAAACACTAGAATACCCAACATCTTGAATTATGATCATGAAATAATTTCACATGAGCTAATTACACTTGCTCACAAGAGACAACTCAATACTATAACTAGTATAGATTTGTATAGTCTTGTTCCAAAAACATTTAAAGTCATTTTTTTAACAGAGAAAAGGAATCTTAATCAAAGCTACTCTGAATCATGCCAAAATCCTACCAAGATATAAAATTCATATTAATCTAAAATGTTAATATCCAAAGGGATAAACAAAATCACGAAAGAATAAAAATTTACAGTATGAAAAGTTGGAAGTCTATTATTAACTTGCTCTGAGGTCCCAGAACTGATATGATCATGATGCCCATCTTCAAAGCTGTACTCCGCATAATGGCCCTGCTAGAGAATACATTAACCATTCCGTACGCCCTGGGTCATTTTGTACCCCAGGGTTGTATTCTTCACATTTTAGAATACTTCTAGTACGAAGATCTCTTTGAAACTTTCAGTATTTTTCAAAAAATCATTTTGACAAACTGCTAAGCAAAGCGTACGGATCGGATTAACAAGTAAATTTCCTCTTTGGAAAGCGGCGGCACTGAGTTCCCCACGAAGTATAGATACGATAGTGAAACACGACATACAGATAGGGTTAAAAGGTCTCTTGCCATCATGCTCCCATCTGTGCCCAAACTCACCTGTGACAGATGCGTAGTCATTAGGACTCTGGAAACCTGAGCCTTCTGCGAGGGTTGATCTGATGATGCCACCATCTTTTCCAGGGGAGACATCCTCTCCTAAGGAAAAATAGAAAAATCACCAACAAAAACAGCATTAACCCTTAAAACCCTGAATTCTTTTCTTTCATACCTCCCTAGAATCCTGAATTAAAATTGAGATACTAGAAAAAATTAGGTTGGTTCATTGTTTTATTTACTGTGTCTTTAACTGTTGTTAGATTTTACTGAAGTTTGAAAATGTTATTTATATATGAATGCAGTCTGGACAAAAGGTTAAAACACTAGTTTTTAGGACCAACTTTATGAGTTAAGTCTTGTGTGTGATCCCTGATTCCACTTCAGTCAAAGCATCATTAGACCCAGCCGTAGATTTAGCCTCTGGTAGCTCTGGCGGTGATCCCCTGCCACTTCCACTATCGTCAAAATCATCATCGATATTATGCGGAACATTGCAATCGTCTTCAATGGTCATATTTATTGATATATCTGACTGGGAGATCATTATTGGGGTCTGGTTCATTATTCAAAATGTCAAACATTTTGTGGCAGTGAAAAATAACTAATTTTTCTTAGAAACTCACAAAATTTCCCAACTTTCGGTATAGAACTGCTCTCATGACATTATCTGTACTTTCTGTTCGTGACAGAGTCATCTGGAGTTTTATATCCCTTGTTTCTAGCACCGGGAATTAAACGATAAAGTTGACCAGCGGTTACCAGTGGTATAGGAAAATACGACGTCAGTGGTTACCAGCGGTATAGGGTTTTAAGGGTCAAAGAAAATTTTGGGAAACAATTCTCTCTGGTGTCAAACATTTTCATAACAAATTTTAACGACAGTAAAAAAGATCTTCAGTTACAGTTTTTTAAAAAGTTGTTCAAGCTAACTAATTAACCTGCTCTAATGGCCACCTGTCCAGGATAATCACTTGTAAAAGATGATCACAATGGATTTCATTCATATTCTGATATCACAGCCACAGTTAACTAACAGTACATGAGTAGATCTAAGCTTAACGAACTCTGTGGACATCCGGTCGGCCTAGATCTAAGCCTACTTCTTTCATTACATGTATGGACACCAATGATGTCAGGCGTAAAGAGAAAATGCCTTTCAATTGACAAAATATACGAAATAATCCACGCTGTTGACAAAAAGCAAGCTCCACAGGCAGAGATTTGTCGTCAGTTCGACATTCCACAAGGGTCGATTCACACCATTACCAAGGACAGAGAGAAGATAGTGACAGCATACTCCAAAGGAAAGTTTGCTCTGGATTGAAAGAAGATGAGACTACCCGATGCAGATG